GGTATAATTCTGCCCTTTGATGCACTGAAAATGACAAAGTTTGGAGCTGGAAGGGCTAAAACACAAAGAGAAGAGCTCCAGGAGGTCATGGAGTGGATGGTAACCTGCAAAATCACTCCTGAGCCAACAGGCGAAGGCTGCGGCGTGTGTGGGAGGGTGTTTTAATTTTAGTTATTAGGAATAATACAAAATCTCTGTTGCATGTTGTCATAGAATCATTAAGGTTGGAAAAGATCTCTAAGCTCATCAAGTCCAACCATGAACCCAACACTGACCAGTCCCCGACTAACCCATGTCCCTCAGCACTATGTCTACACGACTCTTCAATCCCTCCAGGGATGGGGACTCCACCACTGCCCTGGGAAACCCCTTCCAATGCCTCAGAACCCTTTCAGCAAAGAAATTCTTCCTCACATCCCATCTCAACTGCCCTGGCCACAACTGGAGCCCATTTCCTCTTGTCCTCAATGTCTCTATTGAACGTTGGAGATGATGTGCTGCAGCACGTTGGATAAAAGGAGAAAAATCATCTAATTCTATAAAATCTTAGCTCAGCAACCAGAATCCAGCCAGCAGCTTGGTTTTATTCCTGAGAATTATTGGATGGTGGGCACAGCAATGAGAATTCCTACCTCACCTCTCGTTCCCTCCAAAAACTGTCTTCCAGGTGACTGGATCCACTATGATCAGAACAAAAACGAGCAGAAAAGAAGCGGAGTCAGTAAGTTGATTGGCAGATAAGTCGGGGTCACTGATTTTTCTGTGTACCTCACTTATTGTTGTAGCTGGAGTGATATGAAAGAAGTAACATCACTTCTGGCTTGCTCCTTAGGCCTCAAGAAACGGAAACCAACCCTCAACATCTTGGAAGAAGAGAAGCTGTGTAGCAAAAAGCAAAGGATGGGCAATACAACAGGTAGGGAGGGCATTTCTGTGGCATGTGAAATAACAGCTTTGGGTTGTTGTTTTGGGTTTGGTTGGGGTTTTTTTTTGGTGTCTCAGGAATTGAACCTGAGATCAATTTTTTTAAGGAATTCCATGAATCTAAGCAAAAACTATGAACCCAACACTGACAAGTCCCATATGACTAACCCATGTCCCTCAGCACTGTGTCTACACGACTCTTCAATCCCTCCAGGGATGGGGACTCCACCACTGCCCTGGGCAACCCCTTCCAATCCCTGACATGAACCCAATCCCAATTATGAACCCAACACTGACAAGTCCCCGACTAACCCATGTCCCTCAGCACTATGTCTACACCAGTCTTCAAACACTGACAAGTCCCCAACTAACCCATGTCCCTAAACCCCATATCTTCTAAGCCTGGACAATAGTGGCTGTTTGTGAAAGAGGTTTCTACTTCATGTTTCAGATTTTGCATTTGGGTTGTCATCTCCTGAGCTGTAACTGGCTGAGATGTTCTGAAAAAAATTAAAATAATAATAATAATAAAAAAATCAACTCTTGTTTATTGTTGACATGTGATATGCCCTGATGGTCAGAAGAGCTTAGTGTTTGGGAGCTCCCACCCAGGAATTACTCATTTCCTAATAATTACTTGGAAAAAATATGGAAGAAATAATGTTAGTTCAATAAATAGTTTTTAAAAAAGCAGCCAAAGCAGCCGTGTAGGGTGTTTATTTATGGGGACGTGTAGCCACCAGAGGGAGAGCTTCATCCCTGGAAACCTCAGTTTTACATGTAAGTGGTGACACTGAGGAGGAAAGAGGCTCAGTCCGTGTAACCGTGTGGCTGAGACCTCTGAGCTGTTGTAATTAAAGGAAGAATAAACATCTGGAGCAGCTGTAGGTCTTGAGAAAAAGTGGCATCTGAACTTGCTGGGAGGTAGCGAGCACTTAGCGTGGCCGTGGTGCTACACGTCTCAACATCTCTGCATGTTTGGGAACCTAATGTATGGTTCATACAATTTTTCTACTCGATTAATATAGCTGCTTATAAATGGAAAAAAAAAAATAATCCTTGACAGCAGCCAGCATGCAATCAGATGTTGTCATCTCCATGAGCCAGGCTTCCTCGTCCTTCAGGTGCTTTTCTCCAGTGCTTGGCTCCAACCTTGCTGGGATAATCTGAATAATGACATCACCGTCGTCATCTGTCCCCCGGCCACATACAGAATTAATAGCATAATTTATAGAATTATAGAATCCCAGACTGGTTTGGGTTGGGTGGGACCTTCAAGTTCATCCAGTTCCAACCCCCCTGCCATCAGCAGGGACACCTTCCACTAGACCAGGTTGCTCAAAGCCTCATCCAACCTGGCCTTCAACACTTCCAGGGAGGAGCAGCCACAGCTTCTCTGGGCAACCTGGGACACTGTCTCACCACCCTCACACCAAAGAATTTCTTCCTCACATCCCATCTCCATCTCCCCTCTGCCAGCTTAGAACCATTACTCCTTGTTCTAAATTTAATTTAATTACAAGTGTAATGAGAAGATCAACCTTAAATCTGATTTTTTGTTTTGTGTCTCCTCAGATGAAATTGAAACCAAAAACTTAACCGATCAACAGCTGATGGTGATCGCCAAGTTGTTTGGTAGGCAGTGGAGAGAAATTGCCATTGAGTGTCTTCAGATGGAAATGAAAGACATCGAGCAGATTCAGGCAACGGAGGAAGAAGTTAATATGCAAAAATTCCTGGTGCTGAGCAAGTGGAGAGACAGAGAGCAAAGCAACGGAACTGCAGCAGCTTTGTACAGAAGCCTCCATGAAAAAGCCTCCTATGAGATACTGGAAACCCTGCAAGGTATCTCCTCCCCGTTGTAGGTATTTAATGATGTCGCCGGGTTGCATCAGAGCCTTTACAAAATACCTACTCCATGTTTTTACTGTGTGGGATCAAAATTGTCTCCCTTCTGATCTTAACGATGGCATTTTCATACTTCCCTGCAGAAACTGGTATAAAATTAAGAATATTTTTGCTCTGATTGTGTTGAGATCACCAGGTTCATGACCTGGTTGTCACAGCCAAACCCCAACCGATTCTTCATTTTCTCAGGGAGTCCAAAGACGAGATGTTTGAGTCTTTCCTCAGGTATTTTGAAGTGGTTTATTAATGCCTTCCCCTGATGGATGATTTACCTTCAGTCCTGCAGACCCACCTGTGTACGGATTCCTTACTGCCCACGGGTGCTCCTACTGATGTCTGGGAGACTCTTTACATGTCAATTCATACCAGAGTTCTTCAGTGGGCTGAGAACTCAACCAGCCAAGGGGAATCTTTCTTTAAAATTTTTATTTTTTAGGGTTTTTTTTTTTTTTGAAACAGGCAAAGCTTTGCTCTTTTTTAACCCTTCCTGAAAGCAGCCCGGCTTCCAAGGTGTGGTAGTTGAACTCGGCGGGCAGCCAAACACCACACAGCCGCTCGCACCACCCCCAAGGGAATAGGGGAGAGAATTGGAGGGGTGTCCTGGTTTTTAGCTGGGACAGAGCTTGGTTTCTTTTTAGTAGCTAGAACAGTGCTGTGTTTTCCTTCCTCCTTTTCACAAGGGGTAAAGGTGAGGAGACTCGTAGGTTGAGATAAAAACAATTTAATAATTGGAGTAAAATAAAACAGTCATGATAATAATAACATATTATATGTAAAAATGAGTGATGCCCAGTACAATTGCTCACCACCCACCCATAATGATCCCAGAGGAGCAGAAAGGAACCCTGAACCTGAAACCTCAATCCCAGAAGAGCGAACCAGAGTGATTTCCAGGAGAATCCCCAGCTTTCCATCAACCCTGGTTAATACATTGCCCATGACGGGATATGAGATGGAATATCTCATTGGCAGAGCCACATGTCAATTTGGGTTTTGCTAATTACTGCACTTCCCCCCTCCCAGTCCTTTGCACTCACAAACTGGCAAAACACAATGACCTTGGACATCCAGGAGCAACTAAAAACATCAGTACATTATCAACATTCTTCTCATAACAAATCCCACACTGAAACCAAAACACAGCTATTCTAGCTACTAAAAAGAAAATTAACCCTGTCCTGGCAAAACCAGGACACAAGGGTGACCTTCTGCTCCTGCTCCCTCACCCATCCGACCCTCACAAACCTCTCTGTGCCATCACCTCGCGCTCTCTCGTAGGCTTTGATGATGTTTCTTGTTCCACTTGAATATTGCCATTGCTTGGAGAGGTGGGCTCAGCGGCGTGTGTTTGTGCCTGTTCCTCTCCTCAGGGTTCTCGGCTCGGTGCTGAGCTGGTGAAGCTGCAGGCAGAAGGAGTGTGGTGGGATGGTGCCCAGCCAGCCGTTAACGCTTCTCCGACCGCTTCCCCGGCATCGCCCTGAGATCTAGGAGGGATGGTGCAAGTTGTCATTGCTCAGCAGGACGTTCAGGAAGGATCTCAGCGAGAAATGTGAATGAAATTTCACGTGGATATGTAGATTTCCAGCCGTGTAAGACTTTGGGAAGCGATGACTCGCGTGATGGGAGTGCCGGGCTTCACGTACGGGCGGGAAACCCAGCACTGCCAGCTGGCTCTGTCTCATTTGAGCCAGTCCTAAAAGCCATGAACACTGGGAAAAAAACCACTTGACCTTGTTCAGGTATATGGTCGTTATCTGGAAATATTTTTATTTAGATCAGGGAAAGACAGGGAGAAAAGTTCTGCAGGAATTTTTGTCCCTTTTAAAAAAAAAACCCAACTAAACTGCCCAAATCATGAGGTACATCGTGTTTCTTACAGATGCCCGAGATCAGGGAAGAATAATCCTCAACTTGGAGATAAATTCCTTTGTGTAATCACTGTATATAGACCTAATTACTGTATTTACTCGTGTACATTCAGTCCTTGTTAAGCTGTGGTTCTGTTTTCTGCCAACCCAAAGGCTGGTCTCACAGGAGCACCACTATGAACTCCAGGCAGCTTTGATTTTTCCCTGGGAATTTCTTCTTTGCTTTCTTCTGTATAGTCTGTCTCTATTTTTATGAGATATTTTTTTATTAGATAATTTTTTATGTTTTATAATTTTTTTTTTTGTATTAGAAACTTTTTATACTTTTTTTTTTTTTTTTCACTTGATTAACTTAGATAGAATCAGGTGCTTCAATGAAAATGGGAGAAACCCAAAATCTCTGTGAAGGTTGTTGATCTGTCGACAGAATTGGAAAAGATTTGGAAATGATGTGATTTGGGGAAGAGAGAGGCGAGATTGTCTTGTTTTTAAAGACAAGGGATTCTTTTGATCATCTTCCTCTGTGTATGTTTAGGAAAGAAAAAGCATACTTTTAAAAAAATAAGGATTAAAAAGGAAACATTTACACTACTTATTGATGGTTTTTAAAATTTATTTTCGCTATTGGATGAAATGTTATAAGGTTATTGTGTGTTGTGGGACAACTTTCCAACTCTTGATGGGTGGTGGGTGAGGGAAAGGGCTGTGTTGATGCTCAAGATCTCATGGGCTCTTCTGCCAGTGGGGCATTTCAGGGGAAAAAAAAGCTTCGGGAGATTGATGGGGACTCTCCATCCCAAGGTGGAGCTGCCCTTGGCTCTTCTGTCTGGGACAAGCCAGGAGAAATTGCCATTGGGGGACTTTTGAGATATCTGATAAAAACCAAACTCTACTGGGACCCTCTGGTCAAAGGCAGAAATCAGTAAATCCCAGCTCGAAATAAAATGCTTATTTGTAATAATGAGGGTAACAGCTAATGGAGCAGATGGTCAAGAGATGATAAGAGATCATCAAGAGATGATAAGAGATCATCAAGAGATGATAAGAGATCATCAAGAGATGATGGCCTTCAACCTTCAGGTCTCTAAATCAAACTTGCTGTGGTGGTTGCACTGGGTGAGCACTGGGCTGGCAGCCAAACCCAGCCACTCGCTCACTCCCCTCACACAGGGAACAGGGGAGAGAACTGGGGGGCAAGGGTGAGGAGACTCGTAGGGGGAGAGAAGAACAATTTAATCATGGAAATAAAAGTAAATCATAAATAAGGATTTTAAAACATGATAGTATGAATATTGCTGGCATGCAAGCACTATACCAAAGTGTTTCAAAAGTGGGATTGATACGACAGTATAGTGCTTGCATGCCAGCAATATTCAAAGTGTTTCAAAAGTGGGATTGATACGACATAATCGTATTGATTCATGTTGTGTCTCAAGGAAGGGGGAAAAAAAAAAGTCACCACATTATTTTTTTTTTATGCAAACTTTAATTTTATTAGGCAATAAATACAATAAATAAGGAATATCATCATAAATAAGTTGATTATTATAAATAGGCTTCAGTTTCTGAAAACTACAGCTGAATAAATAAAAACAGGGAAATTACAGCTGAGTTTTGGGTGGTTTGAGAACATTCTGGTACTACGATGTAGCTTATTTTCTAGAAATTTCAAAGTTTAACATGGTAATTTCCAAGGCACCGACAGCAGCTCGCTAAAAACACCATTTATATGAAACGCTGTGAAGTTTTATACGCTCAATTCCAAACTCTCTAAGTTTTTTTGTCTCCCAAACATCCTGAGATCCAATTTATACCCCGAGGGCAGGAGGGCCGGAGCTCTCGGGAGAGCTGAGGTAGCTCATCACGCGGCTGATGGTGACGGTGCGGATGCGGAAGGCGTGAAGGAGGCTGCAGAGCCGCAGCCGCTCCCTGAAGGAGCTCAGCCCCGCGCCCGCCGACGCCTGCGGCACGATGATGCTCTCACCACTGCTGTGGGGCTCCAGGGCCTGCAGAGAGGGGAAAGGGTTAAAAACAGCACCCAAAATTGGCTAAAAGCACCCCCTGTTTGATGTTTCACCCCTGAGTGGGAAATGACAAGGCTCAGAAGGGAGAAGGTATTCTCCTAACTTTAAAAAATGGAAATATTGAGGTGTGTCATTAATAGGTTTAGGGTAAAATTTGAAATATTTAATGTCTGGGTAATAGATTGAGGAGAGAATTTGAAATATTCAGTGATGAAAAATAGACTTAGAATAGAATTTGAGATATTTAATGATACAGTGAATAGATTTAGGATAAAATTTGAAATATTTAATGACATGATTAATAGGTTTAGGGTAAAATTTGAAATATTGAATGTTTGGGTAATAGATTGAGGAGAGAATTTGAAATATTCAGCGATGATTAAAAGACTTAGGATCGAATTTGAAATATTTAATGACATAGTGAATAGATTTAGGATAAAATCTGACATATTTAATGACATGATTAAAAGACTTAGGATCGAATTTGAAGTATTTCAGGTTATAATTAATAGATTTAGGAGAGAATTTGAAATATTCAGTGATGATTAATAGACTTAGGATCAAATTGGAACTATTTAATGACATGATTAATAGAGTTAGGATACGATTCCAAATATTTAGTGATATGATACTAGACTTAGGGTAAAATTTGAAATATTTAATAACTGATTAATAGATTGAGGAGAGAATCTGAAATATCCAGTGATGATTAAGAGACTTAGAATAGAATCTGAACTATTTAATGACATAGTGAATAGATTTAGGATAAAATCTGAAATATTTAATGACATGATTAAAAGACTTAGGATCGAATTTGAAGTATTTCAGGTTATAATTAATAGATTTAGGTTAAAATTTGAAATATTTAATTATATCGTTAATAGATTTAGGATAGAATTTGAACATTTAATGATATAATTAATAGGTTTAAGGTAAAATTTGAAATATTTAATGACTGATTAATAGATTTAGGATAAAATTTGAAATATTTAGTGACTGATTAATAGACTTAGGATCGAATTTGAAATATTTAATGACATGATTAATAGACTTAGGATACAACTCCAAATATTTAATGATATGATAGACTTAGGGTAAAATTTGAAATATTTAATAACTGATTAATAGATTGAGGAGAGAATCTGAAATATCCAGTGATGATTAAGAGACTTAGAATAGAATCTGAACTATTTAATGACATAGTGAATAGATTTAGGATAAAATCTGAAATATTTAATGACATGATTAATAGACTTAGGATACAACTCCAAATATTTAATGATATGATAGACTTAGGGTAAAATTTGAAATATTTAATGACTGATTAACAGATTTAAGAGAGAATTTGAAATATTCAGTGGTGATCAATAGACTTAGGATTGAATTTGAAATATTTAATGACATGATTAATAGACTTAGGATACAACTCCAAATATTTAATGATATGATAGACTTAGGGTAAAATTTGAAATATTTAATGACTGATTAACAGATTTAAGAGAGAATTTGAAATATTCAGTGGTGATCAATAGACTTAGGATTGAATTTGAAATATTTAATGACATGATTAATAGACTTAGGATCGAATGTGAAGTATTTCATGTTATAATTAATAGATTTAGGTTAAAATTTGAAATATTTAATTATATAATTAATAGGTTTAGGGTAAAATTTGAAATATTTAATGTTTGGTTAATAGATTTAGGAGAGAATCTGAAATATTAAGTGATGAATAATAGACTTAGGATTGAATTTGAAATATTTAATGACATGATTAATAGATTTAGGATAGAATTTGAACATTTAATGATATAATTAATAGGTTTAAGGTAAAATTTGAAATATTTAATGACTGATTAATAGATTTAGGATAAAATTTGAAATATTTGATGACAGAATAGATTTAGGTTACAATTGGAAATATTTAATGATATAATTAATAGCCTTAGGATGGGCAGCTGTACTTTCCTTGAGACAAAAATGTCCATTCATGGACAAAGACTCTTTCTGCCCAGGAACAAAGATGCTTTTTGATTAATTAGCCTGTGGCCAGCTTTGTCTAGCACCCCCTCAGACCAGGCTCATCTGCCCATGGCCAGAGTTTCCAGGCTGATGGGAGATGCTGTGTCAATACAAAATCAATCAACTTTAAAAAAAAAAACCACCAAACTATTGTGAAATAAACAAACAAGCTTTTAACATCTCTTCCCTCTACTCACTAATAATACTTCTCAAATTTCAGTACACCCTGTGGCATATTCAGTACTCCAGGTGTGTTATATTTCAGTATTTGGAAGAGAAATAGAGCTATGTCCCTTTTACTTTATTTTTGACATTATTTTTGAGTTTGAACTGCCAGAAAATCCTCTACCCATCTCCTCATGAGAGCAAGAGCAGCGTGAAGGAAGGAGGACGCACAGCCAAGGAGCTGTACGCCTCAGTCCTGATGGCTTGGTTGTGTCAGCAAGGTAAAAACATGCAGTGTGACACAAAACTCCTTAAGAATCAAGTCCCTTCTAGTAAAAACCAGTAACAGCCATTTTAAAAAGTTATCAGATTGAAGAAAAAAATCACAGAATGGAGCACACTGGATTAAAAACTCCAGTTTAAGACAGAAATAGTAGAAAGGAAAGAGACAGCCAGACTTACTTTCATCATTTCATCAATAGTTGTCAGCACCTCCTGATCATTGAAGTTCTTCAGCTCTGCCCTGTAGGTGTTCAGATCCTCATAGATGCCCTGCAGGCATTTCCTCTGCAAAAATCAGAGTTATTAGGGAATGGAGGAATCTGTTCTTCAATGCTTGAAAGATACAAGAAGTAAAAAGAAGGGGTTCTTTTGGGAAATTTGCAATTTACCTTATCAAAAGTAGATCTTTCCAGTGCTGGACAGTTTCCAGTCTGCAAATTAAAGAAGAAATGAGACAGGGTGATTTTGTGGAAGTGTGAATTATACAGCTAGCTGTTCCATGAAAATATGATGCTGAAACTTGACATATATATATATATATATGTGGTGGTTTGGGTGGATTCACCCT